ACCATCTTATCAGGGTTTGGATTCCAGTTTTTATTATAGCCCAGAGAGTGGGAGGAAATGAGGAAGTAAAGTAAAATGGCCTTAAGTTTTGCAAATATCCCCTGGAATGGCCAGCCTCGGGGAGGGGATGTGTTAATTTCTTTCTTGTAGCCATCCACAGGTGGACAGGGTCTGGATGTTTCCCTGAACATAGGCACTTTGGTTTAACATTCAGGCAGAGGGGCAGGGTTCCGCAAGGCAGGCTATTATGTATAAACAGTGTCTTTTTAGTGAACAACAGCAGTGGGAAGTAAATCTTAAAGTAAAATAAACAGATCCTACATGTAGTCAGATTTGGCTCTTCCCTGTTACACTACTATTCTCCATGAGGGATGTGTTCTTGAAGAAAGACTCAACATCACCTACCCCAACTCTAGTGGTTCTAGTCTGTGAAGCAAACCCCTCCCTGCTTCAGGCACTTCGGTTAAGTTCCAGGCATGGAAACCACCCTGTGCTCTCACCCAGCTTGTGAGCAACACAACCATTTCCTAAATGGGAGCCCAGCCTTTCCATGCAGTAGGGCAGGCCATTCCCTCCTATTTGGCTGTGGAACACAGAGCCTCCATCCAGCATTCCACTCGACGTGAGAACTCTTATTTGTTCATGGCTCTCTCACACTGCATGAGGTACTCTAAATCCTCTGTCAATATCCCATTCCCTGAGAGCATCAGGGAGGTGACTCGTCCAGCATAGAAGAAACATGTACTTTTTCCTTATGGGAAAGAAGCCTTAGCCTGTACTTGAAATGCTTTCAATCTGCTTCACCTTTACAACTCAGAGCTTAACGTCCCTGGAAAGTACATGTAGAAACAGCAGTATGACAGAGCTCTAAAACAAGATACCACAAGCTTCACCCTTCATGTACCTACCTCTTCCACTCAGTGAAAGAACAGATTCCATCCTTGTCCTATCTTATGTGAATAAACAACTGGTTAAATTTCGTAGGTGAGAAACATGTTTCAATGGGCCCTCTCAAAGGCTTCGCCACCCAATTCCATGGAGTACCTTCGGCATAAGATCACCATCACATAAGAACGGCCAAAGCTAGGTTTAAAATTTTGCCGTACACATTGCTACTGACTATGGTTCACACACCAGTCCTCCTTTCCCTTCACAGAGAGAACCCTGTTAGAAACCTTGTGTGCCAGTTACTTTGTGGCAAAGAGATCTGATGGCAAAGGGGAAACTCGTCATTTTGTACGGGTTACTGGGTACATTGCTTGGATTCACTCGTGTGTACCTGTTTGGAAGAGTGACGCAGAGGCACCTGTACAAACACTCGTGTTACTAGCCTAAGAAATAAAACCTTAGGGGTTTCAGAGGGTGAAGTCCAGGGCATTGCAACTTTGCTGTAGAGAAAAGTGCTCCCATGTAGCTTGTGAGATACATGTGTTTCCTAAATGGGAAACAAGCCTTCCCATACACTCTGAGAGGCTTTACTAATCTTGAGCTTTGCCACACAGTAGCTTTCCATGAACTGTCAGAAAGATTCCTTTTGCATGTCTCTCCCCCATTACCCTAGATACTCCTAACCCCTTGGGACAAGTTCCCCAGCTGCACGAACAATCAGTCCCTAGAAACCCACATCCCTCTACCTTGCAAGAAGCACATACATTTGCTGTTGGGGAAGGAAGTCTCATCGTTAGCTGAAAGACCAGGAATCCCTTTCACCTTTAGAAGACAGGGGCTAACCTACCATCAGGACCCTCTGGAAAGAGCAATATGCCAGAGCTCCTCAACAATATACCCCATGCTGCCACTTCCAGCACATCTTCCCTTGAGTGAAATCAGGCCATAAGAGTCATTTCCTGAGGTAAGCAACAACGGTGTCCATTATCTATCTTGAAACATGTTTAACCATGCCATTGCAAAGGCTTTCCCTTCGAGTTGAAGGGAGCACACCTCGTTTAACTCATCACCACATGGGATGGTTCATGCTTGATTTACAGGTTAATGGCAGGTCATGCTACCTCTATATAGATGACACTCAAGTGAGAACTTCCTGTCACAAAAAGAACACTGTTTGAAAGGCTCTGCGATGGTGACTTGTTAAAAAGATCTTCTGGTGCATGTGGACAATCTTCATGGTATACAGGTGACAGAGGCCTGATTGCTTCCATTCTCATGTGGTTGTTTCTCCAACAGGTTTCAAAGCAGCCTATGCCAGCCCTAGTGGTACTAGTCTGTGAAATGGTTATTGGGCCACTTAGAGTGCTCGGGTTGAAGACAGGGAGACATTCCAGACAGGGAAACAATCCCACGCCTAAAAGTTGTCTCATCCCAGCTTGTGAGAAACAGAACCATTTTCTAAACGTGATACTAGACTTTCCATGTCCTCTGATAAGGCTTCACTTCTCTCCATCCTCCAACCCGGAGAGAGCTCCACAGAGCTACTGGTAGTATATACAATGGTAAGGGTGTGGGTCTCTCCCCCATTTAATGAGCTCCTTCACCTCTTTGGTATGTGACAAGTTCCATGCCCTGAAAGCCCAATCTCTTTGAAACTTTGTTCCTCTGGCTTGTAGGACACACATACATTTTCTCTATGTGAAAAAAAGCCTTAACCTGTACTTGAAAGGCTTTCACATCCAATTCACCTTTCAAACACAGAGCTTCACTTGGCTTTCAAATACCTCTACAAAATGCAGTATCAGAGATCTCTTAAAGATACTGTAATATTTCCTGCTTCACACTTCATGGACACCTTCCACTTAGTGAATGGACATACTGTGGAGTAGTTTTTTTCTTATGTACCATAAGAAACATTCCTTACAGGAGACGGATGCTTAGCAATACCATCTACAAATCTTTAACTTCCAGTGGTTGTTGGCTCACGTTACTTAGCTCAACAGCACACTGGTAGTACAAGTGTCAGATTTACAGCTTTTGGGATCAAATCACTTCATACATCATAGAAAATGTTTAAATTCCCTTCACAAAAGGAACACTATTAGAGAAACTTTGTGTTTGTGGTATGTTGAAAGATCTTCTGCTGACTAACGGGAAACTATTGTATACATTTTTTTTTTTGATGTGGACCATTTTTAGTCTTTATTGAATTTGTTACAATATTGCTTCTGTTTTTTATGTTTTGGGTTTTGGGCTGTGAGGCATGTGAGATCTTAGCTCTCCATCCAGGGATTGAATCTGTACCCCCTGCATTGTAAGACAAAGTCTTAACCACCGGACTGCCAGGGAAGTCCCTCGTTGTATACATTTTAATGAGGACTTTGCTACTACTATCCGTTAGCGACTGATTCTTGAAAAAAGACTCAACGTAGCTTACCCCAACTCTAGTGGTACTAGTCTGTGAAGTAACCCACGACCTACTTCAGGTCCTTGGGTTAAGTCCCAGACATGGAAACAACCCTGTGCTCTCATCCATCTTGTGATAAACACTTTCATTTCCTAAAAGGGAAACCAGCCTTTCCATGCACTCTAACAGGCCATTCCCTCCTATTTGGCCGTTGAACACAGAGCAACCATCCATCATTCCAATTGACGTGGGAAAGCTTTTTTTCCCAAAGCCTTCTCAGTTGGAAGGTGAGCTCTTCTTGCCTGGAAGTCTGTTTCTTTTGTATTTCTTGATAACATTTTCACATAAGAGACCCTTAAAAGGTCATTGGATTTAATTACAAATACTATGATTTACTATATTAGAGGGCCATACTAGAAGTCAATATTCTAAAAACTTACTGCCCCCACCTAAACTTATTTTAGGAACGCTTTTTTAGCTCTTCAAAAGTAACAACCCCAACTTCCTATACATAAACAGAGAGACTATACAACTATAATCAAGATGATTCCTAGGCAGGTAATGGCAGAGGAACTTTTATCATATTAACTGTTCCACAGATTGTTTAACTTAAAAAGAAAAAAAAAGGGCTTCCCTGGTGGCGCAGTGGTTGGGAGTCCACCTGCCGATGCAGGGGACACGGGTTCGTGCCCTGGTCCGGGAGGATCCCACATGCCGCGGAGCGCCTGGGCCCGTGGTCCATGGCCGCTGAGCCTGCGCGTCCGGAGCCTGTGCTCCGCAACGGGAGGGGCTGCGACAGTGAGAGGCCCGCATACCACAAAAAAAAAAAAAAAAAAAAAAGTCTATTTAAAGGCACTGAAGAACAAACAAAAGGAGTCAAGAACTGGACAGGATTTGATCACTGAAAGATCTCACTGGGTGCTATCCGCATTTATAATGACTTTTCCCCTGAGGACACACCCTAGTCAGAAAACTGCAATATCATTGATTTGAGGTGTGAGAGAATGCAGTTTAGGGCTGTTAGAGTAGTTATAAATTAAGAAGGGAAATCCCAAGGAGGGAGTCAAAGAGGAGAAACTCCCAAATCTGTGTGTAAGTCCTCAGCTGATCTCTGAGATGCATATAAGCAGCGGAAACTCCAAGAAGCCCAGTGGAAAGCAAGAGCTGGAAGTCTGAAAACAGAGCAGGGATCTCTTCTCCTTAACAGAAGGGATCAAAATTTGGGATTTCAGTCCTGCCAAGTTAAAAGTGTTTGGCAAACACTTTGAGCTTTCTACAGACCTGGACTAGAAGAAACACAAGCCTCCACATGTTCAAGATGCTCAGCCAGTAATTTAACTGCCTTCCACTATTATTAGAATGAAGATAGTCTTCCAGGTTAATGATGGGCACTTATTATACTTAAAAATATTATTCAGTTCTATTACTTCAAGAAGACTTATGAAGTGTGAAAAGAATCTAAAAAAGAATGAATATATGTATAACTGAATCATTTTTCTGTACATCTGAAACTAACACAACATGGTAAATCAAGTATACACCAATACAATTTAAAAAAAAAAAAAAGAAGACTTACAAAGCATAGAATTGGTAGGTGGTAGACAGGGTAAAATGGCTACTAGCACAGAGTGAATGAAAGAAAAAAGCCACTGGCACCCAGTCTAGAGTAAGAGGATGTGTTAAACGGACATAATAAGTTATAAAATATTATAAAACATGAATTTATTTACAAACAAAATGAAACTATAATATTTGAACAAACTTTTTAAAAAGGCCTATCTTTCATTCTTATAAAGAACAGGATTACTTAAAAATCAGTTTTAAATGACATGAACCACAACATAATTTTAGAAGTAAAAAACATTTTACAGAATGGTATCTGACAAAAACAAAACTTAAAAGCATCTAGAATATATATTGATAGATTTTTTTAAAAGATCAAACTTTTCCAGCCAAATTGTTTTGAAAAATTCCGAAGTATGCCATGTTTAACCAACAGTTTGCTTCCAAATAGGAGTCTCCTTGGAGAAACTAAGTATCAATTTTCAAACAACTATGCTCCCCCATTTGGTTGCTGGAATCATTCCGATTAAAACACAGATCTTTACTTCAATGTAAATTAATATGGCTAAAGACGCCAATCCTGAGTTTTCTTTTTTCTCCATTAAATTCACTAGTACACATACATATCACTTTGAAGCACCATCAAAAAGAGAAATGGAAGACACGATAGCAGATGGAAGATTATCTGCCTCTGGAAGAGCCAAAATTAACGTAGACTTCATTTTCCTGATCTATAAAGGAGTATAACCACATCCTCCATGATTATTTCTCTTTCTAAAATGCTACATATTTGAAGGCAGACTTTGTGCCCTTCCTCCTGTCCCCTACATCCCCCCACCAATTGATAGTAATTAACATGGATTCTGGAGTCGGCTTGCCCAGGTTTGAATCCCAGCTCAGCCAGTTATTTTGTGATCTTGGACAAAATACTTAAACTCTACTCAGTTTCCTAATGTGTAGAGTGGGGCTATTAACAACAGTACTGATCCACAGAGTTGTTATGAGGCATAAACAAGATAATGTGGGTAAAGCACTTAAAACAGTGACTGATACAATGTATATAAGTTTTCAAATCTGTCATCACCATCATTCACTGCTTATGGGAAGGGATCTTGACTATGCCATATGAGGAAATGAATGTCATATGGGAAGATATATTAGGTTAGATCACCAAATATATGAATACAAAACACAAAAATTACTTTTTAAACATTTACCTTAGCTTCATACAATTCGGGAAACATTTTAAAAAATATTTTAATAAACAGACATGGATGCTATAAAATACTTTGTGGACCAAAACTTAAAACTCTAGAGAAAAGTTAACTCAGACAATAAGTTTAAGTACAAAAACACCTGGAAATGTAGCACAGTATCACCACCTAGTGGATACTGCATTAAAAAATCTTACAGATGGTGCTTGCCCTACTTATTTGTAAGGCGAAAAGCCTTTTCAAATAAAAGCACATTCTGTTCACAAATGTAACGGGTATTACAAAATAGAAAATAAATTATTTTAATAGCAGTACTGTCCAGCACTATAGCTAAAATACCTCATACTAAGTCTGTATCTCGAATTTGTTTCTAAAACAAGGGAACAGAGTTAAAAGTTTTTTTTCCAGAAATTTAAAATGTCAGTCACCGTACAAGCCACCAGATATACTTCACCATGACTTCGCAATTAATGCAGAAAATATTACCCATAAAAAACTTAGGAATTTCAAACCACAGTGTTGTAAGTTATCTTAAAAAGCCATTTTATTCTACCTACTTGCTATCTGAATCTCTTCTGAAGCATCCTTGATAAATAGAATCTTGGCTCCAGAAAGTATAGGTAAACTTACTTTTTTTCTGGGCCCGTTCCCCTGCAAAGACTAAACAATTAGAAAATGTATGTTTTTCATGAGTTGAAATCTGTTGGCCTTTGATTTACAGGTGTGAATAGTCCAATCCTTCCAAAGAATTATTCCTCAACTATGAGATCTTACAAAGTTATGGGATCTCTGCTCTTCCAAGTTAAACATCTATATATCCTTTTAGCTATTTCTCTTCAACAGAACTATAAACACTCATCATCTGTTCATGCTCCTTTAAACAGTTCTATCATTTCTAAAAATGACTGCATCCAATATAAAAAATAATATGCCATGAATGGGCTGGCTATTGAAGAGCAAGGACAGATTACCACCTCTCTCTCCATATTCTACTTCTCTTAAGGAAAAACTTTCATGGTGAGGCAGAGTAGCAGCCAAAAACTCAAGGCTCGGAAGTCAGACCAATCTGTGTTATTAAGTAGTTGACTGATGCAAGTTACCTGATGTGTTTGACTTTTAGTTTCTCCAGCAGTCAAACAGAAATCAACATCTGCCTCATATAAATAAGATCAAATGAGACAGTATTTGTAAATCAGCCAGTATAATGCCTAGCACACTATAGGTGCTCAATAAATAACAGCAATTATTATTACTTTTCCTCCCTCTTCTTCATTTAGCATATGCCATACACACACATATATGGTTCAACTGAACTGAAATGACTTACGTTTCAGTGAAAAATCAATGCAATGTGTAATATTTTTCTCACCAGAAAAATACAGTATCTCTATTGGTCTGATGGTGGTGCAGAGTTCAAATTAAAGTAATATTAAATTCATCAAATGCTCATTTTTTAAAAAGCACAATATAAGAATATTTTGGATTACTTCACTGTGACAAAATTTCTTATCCTAGAAATAATTTCCAAATAGTAAAGAATTTAGTGTTGGATTTAGGAATACGTGTTAACAAATATATCCTCCATTTATCCATTTTTTATAATTTTCTCAGCTATACAGGTTTTAGTATATTGGACATGTTGTCTTGTTGTCAACATTTAAATACATTAAAAAGTACCCTAAATAACAGTTATCCCTAAAGTAGCAAAATTCAGCATAAGTAAAACAACATAAACTATTCATAATTGGTTGAAATCTCTTTGCCCTTAAAAGTTTGATAATGATCAAGAATTTTGCTGCTATTATAATGGTCGATAGTAACTTATTTTTCTTATTTTAAATAAACAGCAATAGTTTTGAAATCACTTCCTATTAGAAAAACAACATATATTTTCAAGTAAATACATGTGTAAGTATAAAACACTAGAGTAAATTAAAAATTTTAAAACTAGGTCAGGAAACTTAGGCACAAAAGGGTTAGAATGTCTCATTATCAAATATGTGATTTATTTCCTGAAATTAGTTTATGGTTATATATCATACTTCTTCTAGGATGTTCACTTCATTCCATACTAAAAAAACTTCATTCAGCATACATTTACTCAATATTTATTATATGACATATTTATGAACTTTATGGATATACAGCAGGGGTTGAGTTCTTTTTGAAATAAGGCTAGATGGCACTGACTTAAGACAAATACTATTCCCATTTGAAAGGAGGACCAAAGGTTAAACCACTTGCTTTATCGATTCCAAAACCACAATCAAATACAGAACTCCTATGCTTTTTCTAGTCCATGGTTAAGTCATATTTAAATTTCCATTAAAAAAAACTTATTCATATTATTTGCATGATGCTTCTTTCTTGTTTTACTTTTTAATGCAATTCTAATTATTTTTAAAATAATAAATGCTCTCTAACCTAATGAACTTGAATTGATTTCTTTATAGAAATATTTTACTTGAAAGTGAGCCTAAAGTAATAGTCCACTATTTAAAGGGTACAGATAAAAATTGAGTATCTCTTTTCTTTTCCTTTCCTGGTCGTCAGACAATTATAAAGAAAAAAAAATGTCAAGCCCAGTGGCGGTTGAATTCAAACTAGAAATACACTACATTATTTATTTATTAGAAATAAACTGAATTAAGCCATTTTTATTAAGGTACGTTGTGACAGGTTAAGCACATTCCTGAAATAACTCTAAGAAGAAGGAGGAAGAGACCAGAAAGCTAACATAATTTCTCTTGCCAAAATGACATGCTATGCTTAAACTGAGGAATGACTGTATCAATATTTCCAAATAATTTACATACATAGATGCATTAGAAAAGATTTCTAGGTATCCACTAAAAGAAAATATAAATGTGAGGAAACACAACACATTGGAACCTTACTAATGCTATATAAAGATAATACTCTGTATCTACAGAATTTCATACAAGGTAGAAAAAGTCCAAAAAGATATATTACTGGGCCTAAAAAACTTACAGACCAAATCTTTTTATGATATTCTTTAAAATAACCCCATTTAGGGCTTCCCTGGTGGCGCAGTGGTTGAGAGTTCGCCTGCCGATGCAGGGAACACGGGTTCATGCCCCGGTCCGGGAAGATCCCACATGCCGCGGAGCAGCTGGGCCCGTGAGCCATGGCCGCTGAGCCTGTGCGTCCGGTGCCTGTGCTCCGCAACGGGGGAGGCCACAACAGTGAGAGGCCCGCGTACCGCAAAAAACAAAAAAACCCCAAAAACCTATTTACAGACTTTAATAACAATAACTGCAAGGCCCCACAGGGTCTCTAGCTTATCAATACTTTTTTTTTTTTTTAAGAATTACCTCCTAATCATTAAGTCTAATTTTTTAAAAAATAATATCAAACATATCTATTTGGTAACTCTTGAAAAATATTCAAAACACATATAACCTCAGGATGTTTCTAAAAGCAGCTCTGTAGAGCACCTTTTAATTCACAGCATTCCAAAAGATCTCTTAAAAGGGCAGGGACTCAACACTTAAAAATGAATTAGAACAATGATTCCTTTAATACATGGAGTAGAATAGTTTCCTCCTTCTTGCCAGACTAGAGAGAAAAAGGGTTTTTTTTGTCTCAGAAATATGCCTAAAAAACAAAAGCCTTGCACCAATGGCATCAGATAAGAAATTTGTTTTTCCTAAATTGCACATTTGGGGGAGAATTTTGACTTCATATCTCCATTATAAAATAATTATTTGAGTGTGCTTTCTTGTCTAATTAAAAAAAAGTTTCGGTAAAAACATTTGTCCTACAGTTACTGTTATAACTAAAGAGTCAATCTACTTTCTAAGCACTAAATAGAGTACAGCTTGGCCCCAAAGAGTGTGTAAAACCAAAGACTTTGCATTTATTACTCAAGACTACACTTGTATTTTTACCTGTGCATAATTTTATATTTGCAAATGAACAGTACCTTCCAAATCCACTCATTATTTAAAACCCAGAGAAAGCATAATCCAACACTTAAGACAGTTCACACAGTTACTGAAAAGTTTACAAATGTAAAACTGGATTAAAAAATGAATTCTAGTTACAGTTCCAAGTTTACATGTCAATGTTAGCATATCCAAATAATACTTCTCTGTAAGGGAATGACAACCCAATGAATGTACTCCAAATAGCAGACACAGAATCCAAAATTAATCCCCCCAAATCCTACCCAAGCACTTGTTCCCTAATCTACAAAATAAGACTAGATCAAATAATTTCTAAACTTCCTTTAAATTCTAACGTTTTTTGGATAATGGAAGCAAATACCAGTTACTTTTAGTTTTATAATTATGTGACCCTGCAAGTCACTTGTTTTTAACCTCTCTGAAAAGATGCAATTTTATTTAAAATATCTCATCAAAAATTTATTTCCTACAAGTTTTATGAAATTTATTGTAAAATCTCCTTTGGTAACTTTGGTGGGTTAAAAAGTGCCCCACAAAAAGATAGGTCAACTTGGAACCTGTAAATATGACCTTATATGGAAAAAGAGCCTTTGTAGACATAATTAAGTTAAAGATCTGGACACGCAATTATCCTGGATTAGGGTGGGCCCTAAATCCACAGACATTGTCCTTGTAAGAGAAGGAAGATGGGAGGAAGGCCATGTGAAGACAAAGGCAGATACTGGAGTGATACATCTATAAACCAAGGAACACCATGGACTGCAGAAGGTAGGAGAGAAGCATGGAATGGATTCTCTTTTACAGCCTCCAAAAGCAACTAACACTGCTGACATCTTAATTTTAGGCTTCCAGCCTCCAGAGTTCTGAAATTTTTTTTAAGCCACCAAACTTGTGGTAATTTGTTATGGCAGCCAAAGGAAACTGATAAAGTAGTGTATTTCAGACAGAAAAGCCCTTTTAAAAGGTATTATTATCAACACAATTTATCTTTGCCCATGATATATTTCATATTAGGAACGGTGAAAGGACTTCATAATTTCTAGATTTTTAATAAAAATCAACAACTTGATTCCTAGATAAACACAGAAGAGCCTCTATTTTATAACATTTACTATCTATATGAGTCTATTTTACCTTATGATTGAAATTATATTTACTAAAATGTTAAACAACTTTTCAATCAATAATATTACCTAATCATTTGTAAATATTTTTAAAGACTTTGCTACTTTTTCTGAAGAGAATTAATAAATAAACTTGTATACCAAAGTTTCCAAGCTTTTTGAGTGGCCAACAGTATCAAAGAAATATCATGAGATAGCTATGAATAATTTTACTTTCCCATCATTATTCAGGCTTATGGAGCAAGTCTTAAACTTTTCTCAGTTCTTTACCATTTAACTTCCTTGGGTCATAGATAGATATACATATATATATGTATATATATATATACATATTTCACATATATATATTTAAAATACATATTTCTGATATTTAAAGCACAAAAAATCTGATGTGATCTGCGGATCACCATGGTGCCTAAAAGAAATTTAAAAATTTCTACGTAGTTTTCATTATGGAAATAGTCTAAATAATAAGTCTATTTTTAGAGTTCAAGATGTTTCTGATATTACCACATAAACCTCTGAATGTCCTGACTATTTGGCCACTGAAAAGTCTTATTCAGAAAGATATAAAAAGTTAGGAAATTCACAACTGCATAGCAACCCAGCTCACAAACAAGTCTGGATGTAGGTGGCAGAGGTATGTTAAGCCTATAAATAACATAGGGTAAAATGAAGTAACGAAATTCTAGCAGTTTCTGAGGTACTATAACGGTGAATAAGCATATGAAAAACATTAAATTCCAGAATATCGACTTTGATTTCAATGAGTCAGCGATACTCCAACCGGCAAATATATAAACTGGAACTAACAAATATTTCACAATTTCATATCTTTGAAAAACTCTTTTCCACACATAGAATGTATAATGTCTATTATCTGCTAGCAAGTATTTATGAGCATAAGTAAATTTCCAAACTAAAAATATGGAGACTAAAGTAATCACAAAAAACTGAATTCTCCGTTTCCAAACTAAGCAAAGAAAAGACCTGATTTTCTTAAGAGACAGTAGGTGAGGAAAGGAAAAAAAGAGAGTAAAAGAGAAAAAGTAGAATAGCTGAGGAAAGTGTAGGCAGGCTTCATGACTACTCCGGTCACCAATAACAATTCCACCATTAACTACCACAAAAGCACAAAACAGAAACATTAGAAGGATGTAGGGCCAAGTCAAAAGGAAAAGCATACTCAAGTTCTTAAAGGACATGGAATAAGCCAAAAGGAACTGAAGAATTTTCCTGAATTCTGAAAATGGTCCTTTAATAGAGGGAAGCTTCTCTTCTTTCTTCTTTTGTAGCTCGGTTTTCCAAGCTTCAGTCAACTTTTGTGCAATGACGTTTCCTGCGCAGAAGATAGCCCAGATGATATTTGTTTGACGAAACATGAAGCCACAAAATCCAAGCAAGGCTGAAGTTTTATGATTTCCATAAAGACACATCAAGTAGGCAAAAAGAGTAAAAAACATGGATCCTGCTTCTGTATAATAAAGGAAGTTAAAAAAATAGAGCGTGGGAAATACTGCTAATGTTAATGTTGACAAGATTCTCTGGATACTTGAGGCAGCCTACAAGAAGAGAAAACACAGTTCACAATAAAACAAATAGGCTGTTTCTGCTGAGCTAATAAACTAAAAAACAAAAAACTACCTGACTCTTACTTAAAAAAATTATTCAACATTAATGTTATTTCTGGCTTTGCAAAAACACAGTATGTATTTATAAGGGCACTTTCTGATACTTTTTAGTTACACCTAGCAGTTTGGAAAGCAGTAAGACAATACATGTGTGTGTCAAAGCCTACAATACTTTGAATCATTCAACAAATAGTTAAGGAGTTATTGTGTGCAAGACAATGACCTCAGTTCTATGGGGAACACGGAGACAAATGGGACACAGTGCAGGTGGTTCCATTTCAGTGAGCTTATCTTCGTGCCTTCCATAAGCATTCACTTAGCCATCATCACCAATTTCTTTTAAAGATATCCCTTCAAAACTGTGCACTAGAGAGAATATAAATATGTATATAACATTTATACCACCATACACCATGATCTTACTATTTTATGATGAAATTACAGGGATCTTCCTGAAAATAGTGGGCCTAGTCTAAAGTTTTAAACATCTTCTTTTGGGCTGATAGTCTCAGGTAGAATTTGAAAGTATTCTTATCTCCTTGAATTCTATCATCCAGTTAATCTAAATCACCAAGCCAGACCATGCCATTACCTTGATTAAAATTAAGGGCTGTCCATCACCTATTAGATAAAGTTTAAAATGCTTTCCATGGCATAAAAATATATTCGTGACTTCTCCCCTACCTTCCTCTACAGGCTTCTGCAGCCTCACGTCCCTGTACTTTATAATCTTATAATTCCAAATAGCAATTCCCTGCATCTTGTTGTTTAATGCCTTTCTACTTTTGCTTATGCTGTTAATCCTGTCAGGATTCATTCCCATCCTACAGTCCTATCTGTCATCAAGATTCAGCTCAGGTACCATCTTCTCTGTGAAGCCTTATCCAATGCCACCCACACCTCTCCCTCCCAGTCAGAGTGCAACAAGTGCTCCTCTGCTCCTTCTCTGTATCCTCATAGCGTTTTATAGCTATTGCTCTCTCATAATTTACACTATTGAAATCATCTCTTTAAGCTAAAAGTAACTATTATAATTAATATTTATTGATTCCTTACTATATACCAGGCAATATTCTAAGCACCTTCCATTTATTAAGCTCTTCTACTCTTTAGAACAGTCCTTTGAGGTACAGTCTATATTTTTCCCATTTAACTGACGAAAACAAGGAGTCACTAAGGGGTAACCTGCAAAGTATCACAAATTAGTAAGTGGATAGAATTCAAACCCAGGTAATCCACCTCCAAGGCCTGCATTCTTAAATCATAAAAAACTGTTTGGGGGCTTCCCTGGTGGCGCAGTGGTTGAGAGTCTGCCTGCCGATGCAGGGGACACGGGTTCGTGCCCCGGTCTGGGAAGATCCCACATGCCGCGGAGCGGCTGGGCCCGTGAGCCATGGCCGCTGAGCCTGCGTGTCCGGAGTCTGTGCTCCGCAACGGGAGAGGCCACAACAGTGAGAGGCCTGCGTATCGCAAAAAAAAAAAAAAAAAAAATTGCTTGGTAACCTCTGTTTCCCCTAATGAAGATATAAGTTTTATAAGAAAAAGACTGTGTCATTTACCTCTGTAATCTCAGCGCTTAGCATACTGAGATATTTACTGAACTGGTTTAATTCATGAAAATTTATAGATTTTATAAATAAATAAGAGTAATTCAAGTATTTAAACACAAGTATCTTCTAAAATGGGGGTAGGGGACTTGCTTTATCTTTACAAAAGATACACAAATATTAAATGTTAAATACATTTTTCACCAAATTTCATAAAACAAATTCACCATAATTGTGGAATTGACTGTACATGAACTTAAATATAATAAATTATTTTGAAAACAAACCTTGTGCCTGGGTTGCACCTTGTGGAGAAGCAAATATAGTAAATAGAAGTTGCCAACACTGAAGAGAAGATTAACAAATCTGAGCATTCCAATGGAGCAGACAACGTGTTCTGACCATCCGAAGATCCAACTGGCAGGTTTGACCACTCCAACTGACAGAAGGTATAAGCCAGGTAATGTAGTAATCATGGGGTCCCACTTAAAAAAAAAGGTCAACAATGAAGCAAAAGCAAGAGGTAATACTGATAGGACTGACACAGAGATGTCATCTTTACCAATAATCAGGCATTTTGGGAAGTTATCCTAAGTCACAGTTAAATGAGCAAATCAGATGCCTCCTCTAAAGAAAAGTTTATCTTATGTTTTGTCCCTGTACCTGCTTTGTGATTGTTAAGGTACAAGCAACCAGCAGACAACAATTAAACTCAGTTTCTATTTTCCAAGATATACTCTTTGGAGGGCCTGTAATTTGGTGATTGAATTGCAAATGCCCCAGTTTTAAAAAGCCTGGAATCATCCTCTGGAATTCGGATGGATTTAGAGAAAAAAATGTTTAAAGAGATTAAAGCACAGGATCCATAATGACAACTACAATGTAGAGAGCCATGAATTGTGCTAAATCCTCTGTATATAATCCTGCAACAAGCCCTATAGTAGATACAATTTTACTGTCATTTTCAGATGAGTAACCTGAAACTCAGAAAATTTCCAAGCGACATGACTAGTAAATAACTGCCAAGATCTAAAATCAGGTCTTCTCTAACTATAGACTTTATATTTCTAACCACTACTCTACAATGATTTCACCAGAAGAGAAGGATATGTCTGTTTTTGTACCCATATCTACACAACTATGTAGCCAAATATATACTCAAACATGCTGGCACTTCACTGGTTGCCAGTTTATCTAGTTAACAGAAGGTTGCTAAAAACACCAAGGATGGAATGAATGTAACTTGTCACTTCTTAGTAGCTGAAGATTCCCCCCTCCCCCTCCTATCCGACTCCCAAAATACACAGTGAGATGCTTGACAGGTGAGCTAAAGTGAAATTTTCTGACATTTCCTAGAAGCAATCCAATGCCTCTAATCCCGGGACTGGCAAAGAAAAACTAGGATAGCTTTCATCATTAGCCAAAAAGAGGGGCAGTAACTCAGTTCCCCATTAGTTAATCTCCCAGAGCTTTTCTTGCTAGGAGACAGATCTGCTGTTTATTCATTCATTTAGCAAATATTTTACAGATCTCAGAGACAGGAACAAAAGATTACCCAGTTCCTTTCCTGTTTGGAGTGGAGGGAGCTAAGGATAAAGGTAGGAGAAATTAGAACTGGGGCCAGCTCTTCCCTTTCTAGCCTGTCCGAGGGTGCAGACAGGTTGGGGATCCCACCTGCGAGAGGGAGAAATGGCCCTCACAGTAGCGTTGTGCCTGCGGCAGGTGGAAGATCTCGTCCATGTAGGGCTCTCGCAGCGCCCGGCTGAAAGCAGAGAAAAGGAGGCAGGACACTAAAAAGGTACAGCTCAGGGCTGCCGAGAAATAGTAACCCTCCAGCTGCGCCATTCCTGCCCGCATAGCCAAGAATCTAGTCCTGGAAAATACGTGCGGGATTCTCAGGTCCCCAAAGTCGAGCTTGACATTCGGGCTCGAAATGGGCGCGCAACGAGGGACTGGCCGGAGGGAACTGAGCATAGCCGGAAGGCAAAGGATGCTGGGAAGAGCGGACCCTGAGCTTCCGGAAGGGTCGGGTCACTGTTTTCCGAGCGAGGAGTTTAGGTAACGCACCGGACCGTTGCCCTGTCAATCACGTTGCGCAGGGCGCACTGAGTGGTCAGAGCAGCCGGAAGGGGCAGACCTCGGGGGATCTGTGGGCGCTGGAGTTGCGCAGCTTGTTGCTTTGAAATGAAAGCAGCTGCTTATCCTGAAGGTCTTTGTTGGCTTTTTTACTGCTGTTCCCATTTCTCACCAGAAGGTGGCGGCATTTCCACACTTTTGCAATCTCCAAGCTCTAAAAATTTGCACATTCCCCCGCCCAGGTTATTTTTTTCTCTCAAGTGATCTGAATTACTAAAACATTCAGTTCCAAGGCATTTGATTTCATCAACTTTGGAGGGTGGGAGGGGGAGCGTTGGTTGTGGAAGTTTCAGATTAAAACTTGAAGGTCCAGAGAGACCCTTTACTGATGAATGAACTTTACTAAGTCATTTTTAGATTAAAAGAGAGCTCTTTCAAAATGTCGGTACTCTGAACGAGGATTTATTTACATCATCACTCATAGTGCATTCGGATAGGCAGATCACAGTACTCTACGGGAGTTGAGGAAAGCAGTATTTTAGAAATTGGTGTGTTTTAGTTAAGGAAGGCGTCTCTGTGCCTGTAAGTTTGATTGTTCTTAACATCTCTATTGCAGCGTTCTGTTTTTCCTACTAAATAATAAGCATGAGCATCTTAATGGTTGGCACTATGTATCATTTATGTTTGTAGTCCCCAGAATGGCTTTCATATATTAGACACTTAAATTCGAAGACTTTTATAGTTTGCGTGGACTTCCCACAATTCCAATATTGGGGGTTGGAGGCTGGAGGTGAGAGAAAGTATTTGAAGAATGCTGGAGATAAATTATGTTTTGTAATTTTACCTTGTGCTAGCAGGCAATGTTTTGTAGAAAAATGATCTCTTGGATAACCTCAGTCACTGTTGTCTTTGGTGGGAATAAATAAAAAATGAGTCAGGGTATTTTTAGAGTTGCAAACCTCAGGGTTTTCAGTTCAACTCTTTCTCTGGGTCAAAGTTAATTCACACTCTCCAATTTAAGCAACTTTCTCAAATTAAGCTGACTGCCTCTCTATTCAGTCTCTGCAACTTCCTTATTAATAAGAGGGCTATGAAGTGAATATGTGGTGGAATAAGAACATGTATAAACCACTGGAATAAAATCATGTCAGGATCCTACTGTGATACATAGTTTTGTTTCCCCTATTCTCTCCCATTTTATTATTTAGTCCATGCTGTACTTACTCTATTTGAAATCATGTTCAGATGATCTAGGCTTCAAGAGGTTGATATGATCTACAAGTAACTGACTCCAGAACCCATGACTTTCTCAATTATGATATACATACTGTAGGGGCAGAAAAATATCTTTTTCCTCTACTCTTGTTACTGAACTCAGGTCTGGCTGCTTGCAGACCCCAAATCAATACTTGAGAGAAGACAAACGCTGGTAGAAAGGAAAGCTGTTTTTAATCAGAATGGTGGCAGTCTGGGGAGATGGTGGCCTCAGTGTCCCCCCAAAAGAATCTCCGAAGATTCTGCTTGGCCATTAAAGTTTTTAGAGGGAAAAAAGGAAGTAAACTCATTTATCATTGAGATAGGGGGTCAGAGTCATCACCATCCCCCGCTGTGTGCAGGTTAAGGTGCAGGCTTGTCGACTTCTTGTGATTTTTCTTTAAATGCTATCTTGTTCACACAGTTAATTCACGAGTTTACTAAAGGGGAAGCTAGGGAAGAGAGCTGGTCATCTGTTAATTACTTATTCTTCATTTCCACTTCTTTGATCTATGGAAAGAACCAACATCTTAGCAAGGTATTGTGTGATCAAAAGATTTGAAAGGTGTGCTAGGGCCAGAGATGAGTAAAACATGGGGGTGCCTGCTTTATAGTTAGTGTCAAGACAAAAGGGGGCTCCTGCAGAGAGCTCCTTCCTGCCAAAAGCTGCTTACACTCTTCTAAGTTCTCAACTGGGACATCTGTAACAAAAGACAGATTGAGAAGAAAAAAGCATACAAATTTATTTAATATGTTTTATGTGATATGGGAGCCTTCATAAAGTAGTGAAGGTCTCAAGGAATAGTTTAAACCTGAACATTTTTGTGCTAGACTTGATGGAGAGCAGAAAATCATGGAAGGATATGATAGGGCAAAAAATATGAGGTAAGTGTATTAAGCTGAAGGAAACAGCAATGCCAGCTCATTCAGATTCCTCTGGGTCCCTTTGATAGGGACAGAGTAAAGGGACAAAGTGGGTGATTAAATAGTTAATCCCACTAGGGGATCGTAAGTAGAGAAAAAAGTATGGGATACCCCTGTAAGTTAATGTTCACTCGAGAAAGCAGGTTTAGCAACAAAACCATGCAACAGAAGCATGAGACATGCCCCCAAATAATAAAACAATGGTGGCAGTAGACTAATATTCTGCCCAATGAGTTCAGTAAGTTAATGATTCCTAGTACATGCTCCTCCGGGCAAACAAAAATATAAGGAAAGGGTGACATTATACTGAAACCTGAGATGATTTACCATTTTTAGTGTATGTTACTGCCTTTTTGTTCATTTCCATTGTGCCAGGACAGTCCTGGCTTGACCATGTAGGGACAAGAAAACTCCCCCACCTGACGTGGAGAAGGAACTGATGATGGAAGCGTGACGCCTACCCAAGAATGAGAAAGAAGGTGGTCTTTTCCCCCACCTCACTTTTCCTTTGATTACAAAACTGTAGTTCACTAAGTTCTTGGGGCGTGGCACCCTCTCCCCTGCCCACTTGTAAGCCTCACAAGCATCCTATTCTAATAAATCACTTCTTATTTATCACTTTGCCTCTTTCTGTGCTGAGACATAAAGAACTGGAGTTCCTCAGAGCCCCCCGAGGTGCATTTCTGCAGTTTCACCTTCGTCTTCAGAAATAACGATGCTTCTTTCTTCTGAGTATAGGAAGGTCACCTCTCATATGAGAGTTTTATGACCTACTTCAGGGGAAGGTAAGAATGTCCTTCCTAGGTTTTATTATCTGCTTCATTGGAAGGTCAGATAGTCCTTCCTGCACATCTATTTCTCAAATTCCTTACACTTGAAATATTCAATATGCCAAAGTGCCACATTTTGGACTAGCGTGTCCTGATTCCCTGTCAATACCTGAAAGACTACTGACTTTCCCCTGAAACAGTGGACATTCTTTGAAGGTAGTAGAACAAGGCCAGCCATTCATGCCATGTGTTTCTCTCTGTACTGATTGCCACAAAGACCTTACATTAAATATCTGATCCCACACATCCTTTTAAGATAATTGGAAAGTTTTAAGGAAATAAGGGGTTTTAGAAGTGTTAGTTTCATTAATAATTTACTTGCCTTCATTTTACAGAAGCTGAAGTTAAAATAAGTGGTTTACCTGAAATCACGTAGGAAGTTAGTGGCAGAGCCATGAAATTAGAACATCAGACCAAAAGTAATAAAATAACATCATAGACTTATGGCTTAAAATAATCTTCAATTTATACTGAACTGAATGTTTCATTAGTCCCATTAACCTTTTATTTACATTCTATTCCTTTGTGTTTCCATTCACCAAGTGAAAAATACAGGTTTCATTTTTTAAAAAAATTTCCATGGTGAAGACTAATTGCATCAAAATCTGCTGAGGAGCTTTGTGAAAAACTAGGTTCCAGGGTACTATCTCACACCTCTAAATAATAATTTTCACATAATAATCATCAGTGAAAAACATATTACTTAAGAATGCTAAGAAACACTAAAGGCCCAATAGAAGTCTTCATAGAATACTCCACTAGTTTGTTGGTGAATTACTTTTACTGTCTGCAAATTGATGAAGTTGTTGTCACTTGTCTACTTCGGGATTATGACATCTCTCATAACCTATTAATGCTTTTCCAAGGTCTGCCACTAAATCAAGACCTCACATTAACATAGCCATTTCTAGGGATTTTAATGAAGTAAGTTATGTTTTAGTAGATCTACATTTTAAAGCTGATCACCATTAACATTCACCTTATGTTCTCCATTTTCCATATGTCTTTATTTTGTGAAAAAGAGTCATCATTAGAATGTGTGGTCCTATCATCATAGACCCTCAATTAAACTTTTTATTTTGTCCTTGTCTTGAATTATGATATAACAAGTTATGGCAAAATGGGCAATTTCTTTTGGAGTTCTAAGGATAGGTAGCGTGTACAAGAAATAAATCTTTGTTGGTTTAAGCTATTAAGATTTTGCATTTATTACTGCCATGAAAATTCCCTAACAGTGAGTTTCCCCAAATGTTGTAATTCTAATAACTGAAAAATTTATGTAAGTACTATCACTTTGAAGTGATAGTCCAAGTACTATTCTTCTTCTTATTGAGAAGGATAGTACTTTTCCACTTTTTACTGAACTAAAATACTGACCACTTGATAGTCACAGTGATGGTTTACTCACTTTTTGGTGCCAATTTGTTCTAGCTATAGCTGTACCTGGGCCAAAATCATAGATGGTAACCTCCAAAATGCAAGTATCCTTGAGGTCAATCTCAACATTACAATTTTAAATAATGTTTAAAATTCATCAATTAATTCATCAATTAATTAAAAAGAAAACACAGCACAAAATTTTGGTACTAAAGCTTTAGCCAATATTTTAGCTCTTTACTGAAAATATCTTGGAGATAAGCTGTAAGGTGACCAATCTTCCTGGCTTGCTGGAGACTTCCCAGTTTTAACTTTACAAGTTACGGGAAATCCTTTGGTCTCAGACAAACAGGGTTGAGTCATCATCTGGAAAGTTATACCACACAACCCAAAGCAAAACTTCCTAAATATTCCTTATAATACTGGTTCTTAAAGTGTGGTCTCTGGACCAGCAGCATAGCATCACCTGGGAACCTGTTAGAAGTGCAAATTATTAAGCCCTGTCTTAGACTACTTAAACAGAAG